GGAGGAGGAGGAGGAGGCGGAGGAGGAGGAGGAGGAGGAGGAGGAGGAGGAGGAAGGAGGAGGAGAAGGAAGGAGGAGGAGGGATGACACAAAAGTCAACCAAAATGGCATCATACGTCAGGCGTGCCAACACACATGCTTGGGGAACACACGGATGAACCAGACAAAAGCCCCTGAGCATCCTTGGGAGGGACCTCGGTTGGGAGGGCCAAAAACATTGGGGATAGGGGGGGTCTTTTCTGCAGATGCATCGAACCAAACCGCCCAAAAGGATCGTCCCGAATGTGCAGAAGGAGACCTCAGTGAGGCCACGTCTCCACTGTGTTCTTAGGGTTAGGGCATCTTCAGGGAACGAAGAATGGCATAAGCATAAAAATTCGGAGGTCCGCGCGGATTTCTCGGCTCGGCGCTGGAGCCCCCTCCCTGGCGCGCGGAGCGCGCCAGGGGCGGCGCCGGAGGCGCCGACGCCGACGACGACGACGACGACGACGACGACGACGACGACGACGAGGATGCCGACGACAGCACAGGACTGTTGATGGTCATCGACAATTACTTCGCGCTGGCTCCCGGCCGACCCTCTTACAGCTTACACGCGGAGGCTGGCGCGGAGCGGTGCGGCAAAACGCGCGAGCAGTGCACTGGCAAAGCCACCCTCCCAGCACCGGAATGGTGTCAGTGGCGAGCGTGTTGCCCATGGCGGACAAAAACTGCCACCGGTACACAGACAGACAGACACAGCATGAGAAAAGAGCAGGTGTCACGCCCACGACTTCACAGTGGACCTGGCAGGCTTTGGAAAACGTGGGGGTGAACTGCGAAGCCAACATTTCACGCATACTTTTGGTGCGGCTCTGCGCTCAGACCTGCGCATTCCGACGTCAACTGCAAAGTCGCAACCAAGACAGCTTCTGATACCAACGACACAACAACAGCCTCATCCTACCCCTCCCTGCCTCCTCATATTTCCTCCTGCTCCTCTGAAGTCCTACCTCCTCCTGTCTCCTCCTACGTCCTCCTACTACTTCCTCGCTTGCAAAAGCCGCTGCCGCACATATGAGCCGCGCGGACCACCAGCGCGTTTCCTACTCCTTTTCCGACCGTTCCTCTTCATCATCCTGCTTCCTCTGTCCGCCTCCTCTTTCTTGCTGCTGCGATCCTGTTTGCTCGCCGAATACTCCGCGAAAAAAATCGCAAGTGGGCCCTCGCCAGCATCCGAAATCTATCCGCCACCATGCCCCTTGGCACGTTGAGGCAAGCTGGAATGCCAAATGTTGTGGGGCAGGGTTTATACAATCTTCTACGGCCCCCCCCTCCGGGTCGCGTACTGCTGCGTGCATCGCACATGTTCCCGGGGGGGTCATTGGGCGGCCATGGCGCCTCGGAGGCGCCCAAGACAGTCCAAGATGGCCCCGAATCGCCGAACGATCGCTCGAAGACTCCCAAGATGGCCTCAAGATGGCGCAACAGGCTCCCCAGGCACACCAAGAGGCCTCCAAGAGGTCCCCCGCCTTGCGTTCTTGTAAACGTTTTCGCCTTTTCGGTCTCCAACGCTCCAAGGAGGCCAAAGAGGCCACCGAAACCACCCGAAAACAGCCCAAGAGGCCTCCAAGAGGGCCCTCAAAACAGCCTTAGAGCGCCCCGCGACGACCCAAAAGGCGCCCAAGACGACGGCCCAAGAGGGCCCCAAAATGGCCCCGAAAGGGGACCCAAAGAGGAAACGCGAACCGAAAATCCAAGCCTTCTGCCCCAAGGGGCCCCTAGAAACTCCCCGAGGCCCCAAGAGGCCCCAAGTGGCCCCCAAGACGCCCCCAAGAGGCCCCAAGATGCCCCGAATTCGCCCCCAGGAGGCCCCAAAACGGCCCCCAATAGCCACGAGATCCCAACGAACATCCACTACGCTCCCCCGGTGTCTCCTCGAAGGAGAGCCGCCGAACATGCCGGACGGGCACGGTGGCGGGACTTGGCCGCTGGCAGCTGGATTGACTCACCGCACCTAAAAAACAATCGAACAGCACGCCTCACTGCGTTGGGTTGTTGGGTCCGATACCAAGTCAAGTTTGGGAACCAATGCATCGGGAACAAGCAGATGCGGCTGGGCAGTACGACATATGACGACAGGTAATCACACGCGAGACACTGGTACGACAATGTAACATAACTGCGCGCCCGCTGACTGCATTGCAAAGACGGAAACGAACGAGAACTGAAACCTGACAAATGTATCGGACCAATGCCAAACACAGGCTAACGAGTTGAAGCTCATAAGAATCCGCCGGCCCCCTTGCCCGTTGCGGGGCCAATAGGCTGCGAGGCTTAGGTTCGTTGATCACTGCGCCTGTTCCAGTTTCCCGTTTTCAATGTTACACTATTGCGTTACGTTTCTCGTTGTAAATTGCCACTGTCCGCGCGAGGGGGGGAAGCCGAAAGCCGCATTTTGAGCGCCCCCGAATCGCGCGCTCTGAAATCCTGCGGGGGCAATGGGACACGCAAGAATATGTGATATTCGCGGACCCGACGCAAGATTCCCTCGTAAATTACCACGGCTTCGCGCCCCCGAGGCCAAGATTCCTCGCAAATTACCATGTCTTCGCGTCCCCGAAGCCACGATCTTTTTGTAAAATACACCATGCCCACGCTCCTGAAGCCACGACCCCCCGCTCCTGAGGCCCCGATCACGCTCCCGAGGCCAAGGCAGCGCCGAATCGCACCGACGCGACCCCGCTATATCCCATAATGATAGGGAGGGGGCCGGCGGCAGGGGGCGGCGCCCTCACGGATATGATCAAGGCGATGACCCCCCCTTCCTTTCGACAGCGAGTGGTCGACAACGAGTAGTCGACAACGCACGCATTTTATGTCGACGGCGGGCTGGCCCCAAGCCGCGGTCAGGGAAGCGAGGGACGCACCCGCACCTCACTGGGCACCACGGGAGGAAAAGAGAGGCACCGAGAGGGGGAGAAGAGGTCGCAGGCGGCAGAGCACGCGCCGACCGCGAAGTACAGATATCGCACGCGCGCGCCCGCACGCAAGCTTACGCGGGCAGCAACTAGGAGCGGCAAGGCGAAACTGCGTACCAGGGTGCGGCGAGGTCGTGGAATACCGGGCGTCGCAACCCCGCGGCGGCTGCGCAGGTGCGTCACGCCAAGACAGTTTAGGATGCAAAGGCAATACAAAGTTCCAGAATGACGAACTCACGCGCCCTGCATGCAACCAACCCATGGCAGCGAGCCGATACAGTCCAATGGGTCGGGCGACAGGGCGATCCAGGTCAGGGCCAGGCTGGAACCGGCCGAAGGACGGACGGGTGAACTCCGACCCGCGGTCGGGGCGGCGTTGCGCACCAAGCAAACCAGGAGTCGCGCACGACACAAAATGAGAGTGGCCGAAAAGGCATTGACTTCCAGGTTGTGGTGAGATCGTCGAAGATCACGTCGTCATGCTCCACGCGAAACAGCAAACTGGCGCTGGGCAGGGCCCAGTAGCGCCAGTGCTGCGGGGGGCTAACGCACGTACACGCTTCATCTGCTCTCCCCGTCCGCCAATCTCTCAGTGCCTCTGCTCACCACCACCGCATGTTCTTAATCGCACCGTTTGTTTATCCCTACGTTTTTCCGTCCAACCACATCCTCGTATCCCTGCCGCAGGCACTCAGTGGAGTGTCCTCAGACGCCTTCGAATTTTCTGTCGGACATCAGAATTTATGTTCATGGCCCCATGCTCCACCAGATTCCCACAACTTCTGAACGCTACTGGGCTCTTTCCTGATTTTTTTTTTCGCGAGGCCTTTCCCGACACCTTGGGGGCGTGGCTGGTAGTCCAAAAATCCAGCACACACTGGGATGTTCCCCGGGGGGGAATTATTTGACTTTCTTTGGGGTCTCTTGGGAAGGCCTGGGGGCTGCCCTAGGAGGCAGAAGTCCGGTTTTAGAACTAAGAGGAACTGGCCCAACAGGCCAAGGTTGCAATCTCGCATACTCGGCGTTTCGCTTCAAGAGCGCCCACGAGTGACCCTCGAGGGAACCACAAGGACCCCGAGGCCCCCCAGAGAGCCCAGGAGGTCACAGAGGCGCAACAAACCAAGAGGCCCCCAAAAGCCCCCAAGTGGCCTCCCAAGAGGCCGCCCGCGACCCAAGCCCGGCACTGGGATGGGCCCAGGGCCACTAGGCCCGCCGCCCCCTTCACCTTCGAGAAAGGTGCTCGGGGAAGAACGGTGAAACAACAGGGCCGTCGAGAAAACCCGGCTGTGGTAGTAGTAGGTGTCTTCCCTTCCGTCTTCTTCAGGTGCCTTCCATTCCTTGCAGCCCTCCTGTCTTTCGCAGCAGTTGCTTTACCGTCCTTGCCGCCCGACTGCCTTGGGCAACGGGCAGTCTTCCTCCTACCTCCCTGGCCTCCCTCCTGCCTTTGGCGGCGGGCGCCCTTCCCCCCTCTTCTTCCTCCTCACCCCCCCCTCCCGGCTTTTGCGGCGGGGCCCCTTTTCCTCCTCCTCTCTGAACTCCCTCCTGGCTTCCGCAGTGGGCGCCCTTCCCTCCTCCTCTCCCTCTCCTGCTTCCCTCCTCCTCGCGGTCGCAGCCGCTCTGCGCCTGTGCCGCGGTCGCCCGCGTCTCGGCGCCCTTCCTGTCGGCCCTCGGCCTCGCCGTCGCCTCCACCTCCTTCCTCGTCTTCGTCGGCGCCAGTCACCGCCTGCTTGTCCTTCAGCACGACGTCCCGGACGTGCATCGCCCACTCGAGGATGCGCCTGTCCCCGTCTGCGCGGCGTCTCTCG